TTGAATTCAAGAAGTTTTAGATTTGCGTGGTTTTTTTTTGAGTTGCAAAATCCATTTGAACATGACGCTGCTTTTTTCGAAGTTTCTCAAGAACCATTCGAGCCAGAGAATTCGTTTTGGCATTGTTGGATAGAGAATTTTTTTTGTATAAATTTATGCCATTTGAGTTTATTCATCAACTTTTCGAGCCTGTGAATTGTACATTTAAAACGTTTTTAAACAAGTTAACTTAAAATGTTTTGTAAATATTTTTATGAAAACGTCATAGAATCATGAAACTACATAGTGATTCTTTGATGAGTACAAATATTTCAACTGGTGGTATATTTTTGTCCTCGAAGCACGGCAATCCTATAGTTCTGCTTCTAGGGCCATTATGTACCACCAATTAAAATATTTGCACTCTTCAAAGATACACCATGTATAATGTTACAAAATATTTATTTGCAACGTTTAAATAACGTCTAACGCAACGCTTGAGTAACATTTCGACAAAATGTATCTCTGCAATGTTTCAGCGAAACGTTTCTGAGGGCAGACATTTGCAGTTACATAAACATTTCTGAAACATATAATCCAGGTAACTGAAACGTTTCGGGATTTTAATATACGTTTCTGAAASGAAAAAYTGTTTAGCGRGAGAGTAACAAATTTAAAAATAATTAATCWCAACCAACATTAACATCCGCTGTTAAATASTTATAATAATATTTTTCCATAATAAAGCATCATCATTTCATCATTTTAATTTGAAAAGAAGAATCTAATGTTTTCCAATTATGGGTTTGTTTTGAMTTTTAAATCTGGTGATGGCGCTGTTGTCTCGCCGAAACGTAATATGAAATAAACGATATGAACATTTTTACTTTACATTTTGACTGAAACCCAGGAAAGATAAAATATAATTTTGCTGAAAGAACACTTCGTGAAGTTAAGTGAATCTTAACAGACACACGATGTACGCAAAAATCAGTCAGTTGCTCTTTCAGCGAACATTTTTTGATATGTTTATAGTAACGTTGTATCAATTATAAATATCAACAGTAAACATTATTAATTAGTTTAACTTTTTATCGTAAAGGTAAATAAGAAAGTCTATATTAAATAACAACGAAACAATGACTATTTTGCCTCCTTCTGTATACCCTATAGCTCAACCATTTCCACATCAATAATGTTATTCTATATATCGTACGTGTTGTAATTTTCACTTTCACTGCTTTGGCTCATGGGCATTTTTGATACCAAATTTTTGAATTCAATATGCCTTAACAGCGCCGATACACCAGCGTAGTGAAATGATAAAGAGTTTGAAGCAAAGCGTAGGTAAAAAATCGGAATGCAACACGTTTTGCAGGCACAAGTGATGACTAGCTTGAAATTCTAGATTTATAGTTAATTATTTAGTTGAGAGAATATTAGGCTTACCATAGAGCCATCCACGAATCCAGTATTTTGATTAATCTGTTCTCTGGGCCCAAGGTGAAGTTGTCCAGGCAAAGACCTCATAAATGGAAAACAAATTTCTTGGCCAGTTGTTAAATTGTATGTGGGATAATAGTGATCCCCAGGCGGCACAGGAATGGGATTACATTCTGGATGGACCGTTCTAGGACTGTCACACGATCTACAGCTCGGAATAGATTCATGATGGCCTTTGTGAATAGGCGTCATGGTGACATCGTGGTCTAATATTTGGGCAAACTGCATGACCATGAGGGTGTAGCGCGTGTGTAGATTGCTGATGTCTGGGTGAACTACTTTTGATACTGTTCTGGGATTGGGCAGAAGAACTCCCGTCACTCCCGTTGTTCTCGGTTTCGAAATGCCTGAAAACCGACTATTGAAATATTTAAAAACATTTGCGAGGCTTCAAACTCTAGCCGTACCATCCTCATAAGCACTAGGCAACAGTCGGTTAAAGGTAGTCAAGCTTTTTCCCCAGTTGGGCCTCTTCAGATTATTACAGTGGCCTGAGAGGGTTCTATATGGAGCTGTTGGATCACAGGGGCCATCTTCTGCGCAATTCTCATCGTCATGAAGCACTTCAAATGGAATGCGCGATGATATATCCACAGTTTGCAGATTGTCGGTGAAATCGTCACTGATGAGGATATCCAGACCTCGTCCTTCAAAAATTTGCCGTCTTCGTCTTCGATGGCTAATAGATATGTTATATGGAAATTAAACTTTTACGTTTAAAAATGAAAATAACGGTTCAAATTTTGTAATAAGCGGCGACGATTGGGTGCAACCAATAGCATTATGAGGCTTTCAACTAAAACAAATCGCTTTATCTACTTCAGCTTGGTTTAGGTTAATCACGTTTGGGTAACAAAACTATCTATGGAAAATTTGCTCGTTAGCATGTAGTACAATGCAGTTTTATTTTTAATGATTGTTAGTTGCTATGTTTCGATACGATATTTTGCGGAAATCATTTTATTCCTGATCTCTGTCACGTATACAATTTTTGCTCCTAAATACGAAGTGCTGCTTTAAATTGAGGCGAGTTATTTGATAGATTCATTCGGGTTTAATTAAGAATACCTTTTATCCAGTTGCTCGGTATGTGGGATAGAACCAAAATCATTATTAAATATTCATTCACAAGCTTTTCTGATTTAATATACAGTTGAGTCCGGATATAACGAACTTGAAAAATTATTATATTATATTAAAATTATAAGCGAATAATAATATGTGAATATAATTATTTTTACATAGAGTAGTAGAAGTTAGTCGGTATAACTAAAAAGAACACAAAAACATAAACAGAACACAATTTGAAATCTACTCCACAAAGTCTGTAATTTTTGTTTGTACATTTCTGCTGCAAAAATAGATGTTATTTATGTAGTTTTCAAGATCACAAAATGACTCCCAGACATGATTAGGAACTTCTTTTTATCATTTCACTGACACTTTTTTTTATCATTTCCGAAATGGTTGGAACAGCATTAGTGTCTACAGTAGAATACGTTTCTGCCATTATCAATGATCACATATTCGAAGAAATTAAAATCACTCAATTTGGTTATAACTTTTTCTTCGACAAAATTGGGCACATCTGAGTCATACTCGTAGTCAGAGTCTTTATGCTTTTCTAACAATTCATTAAGTGGAATTTCATCGTCTGGTTAATAATCATTGTGTTTTCTTACAAATCCATCATGCTTAAAGAAATTTGCAATGGTTTTTCGGCTAACTTTTTGCCAAGCTCTATGAATGAAATTGAC